TGACACAAAGACTTAAAAGATGTCTATGAATTTGAGACCATAATCCTATATATGGTTCCCATATGTATTTCATTCATCGTAAAATACAATTCTAAAAGAATTCGATCTCTACACATATAATTCAGCCCATACTTTATTTAGATATTGTAAGCCCAATTACTTAATCATTTATTAGATCACTTTAATTTTATGCTTAAACTTTAATATAGCATTTTTATACAATTAATTACATATGTTAGTCCACATGACAAATTAATAATTTCCCGACATACTATGGTGCTTGAGAGAACCAAGTTGAAAGAACTCGACAAAATGATTTCATAACTTTATGGATCAACCAAATCCATTAATATGGCAGGCTAGGCTAAGAGATCGGAAAAGATAGTCTTACAAAATTTTATCAACTTTTTAACTATATATTTTATTAATTTTGATCAAAATTTACTAAAAATATTTTTTGAGTCCCAATTTATTGTAGAAATGCATTTTGAAATAGTAGATTGTTGAAAAATGTGGTTAAAAATAAGGAAAAATTTCTAGTTTGCGTGTAACATTATTTTGTTAAATAATGTGTGGTTGAAAAGAAGAGAAAAAATGTATTTTGAAAATAATGTTGAAAAAATAAGGGGATAATTTTTAATAAAATCAAACAAGGTCTTAATATAGATTTATTCACTTTTCATCAGTCTCACAGAACGCTCGTTGTGTAACTATAGTGATTCAGTGACACACTGTCGATCAATTTACTAATTGTTAAAGGCTGAGGATCAATTAATTATCAATGAAATATGTTGAGGACCGGTGGTGCAATTTTCCCTTGTAAAAATTGATTGGACAACTGAGGAATCTTCCGAACGGCAACGTCACTCGTCACCAACGTAGGACGAATATGTTGACCGTAGACTTACGATCTTGACTCGTATTGACTCAGTTAGTGTTTCGTCTTTAAAAATCGGCTCCAAACTCAGTTGAGCAAGTTCATTAGACAGTCCATCTTTTAAAAAAATTATTGGATTTATCTCCTGAATATTCTTATTCGTTTTCCTCTTTTTATTAAGCCAGCTCTTTTCAGCAACTTTTTAACTCAGATCTCGAAGTTTCAGAAAACAAGGATGAAGGTTAGTTAATGTATTTGTGCTTATTTTCATGTTTAATTTATTAATTTTATCTGTTTGTGCTTTGCTTTTGTTCAGATTCTGATGCTTGAACTTTCCATTTTAATTTTTTTTGCTGACTTCTGATTATTCTTAAAAGCATAATCCCACTTTTCACTTTTGATGGATCTCATTTATTTCTTCAGTGAATCTTCACGTAGGAAATCCAAGAATATTATGTTCTAGTATATGAGTATCTTGTTTAGTATGGATTAAGCATAATTAGTCTGTTTTAATTTTATTTTCAAGCCTGAGTTTTTGGTGGGTTTTTCCTAATCAGATTTTTTTGTTATTCTAATTACAGAAAGTTGTGTTGAAATTGGAGATTGCTGATGAAAAAATAAAGCAAAAGGCAATGAAAACAGTATCTGGCCTCTCTGGTAATCTATCCTCAACTCCTCGTCTAGTCCTTTTCAGTACGAAACAAGACTTTACGAGTAAAAGGCTTGTTTGATTTCTAGAGTTCAAGAAAATCCAGATCTTAAGACATGAAAAATACAACTAAATTTAATTCATTCCTTTTCTTTTTGTGTGTGTGCTTGAATTTTCAGGGGTTGAATCAATTGCAATGGATCCGAAGGATAAGAAACTGACAATAACCGGTGACATCGATCCGGTTAAGGTGGTGGCTAAACTGAGGAAGCTCTGTGGTACAGAAATTGTTTCGGTCGGACCGGCAAAAGAGCCTGAGAAGAAAAAGGAAGAGCCCAAAAAAGAAGAAGGCAAGAAAGATGATGGGAAGAAAGGAGATGACAAGAAAAAAGATGGTCCAAAACAAGAAATTGTTCATCTGCCAACGGCTTATCATCCATATTATCATAACCAACAACCTTATTATCATCAATATCCACCACCTGCTTATTATGGTAGAAGTGTGGAGGAGGATCCGAATTCATGTGTTATTTGCTAAAATAAAAACTAGGATTTGATCCTCATTAGTGAGTTTTCTTGGATGTTTGTGTGGGAACTTTTGATCTTTGTTAAATGAACTCTTATCTAGTTTTTTGTTTTTTCTCTTGAGATGGTGTAAGAATTATATATTCTCCTAGTAGCAAAAAAATTGAGCTCAATTTTATTCGAGGTTTGTGCAGATGTAAGCATGTCAACTTTTGATATACATGATCCAGTCGATCACGAGAGTATATAGTATTGCCAATTGTAAGTAACATCGATTAGTGGAGACATATATCTAACGTATAAGCTCATTCATCGCTCTATTTTTAAGTTTTTGACTTAGTTAAAAATTTGAGTAATTATTTAAATGGTACATACAATTCTTTTTTGGTTGGGAACTTAGAAATTAGAATTGGGTAATTTTTGCTATTTGTACACCAAACTTGTCATGTCCAGTCACAATGAGGGGCCCCACATTGAATAAAAAAATCGTGAGCAAGTTATTGTGAAAGGGGCTTAATCTAATTGTGTCGTCATATTGAAGATTTTTACTTGCAAACAAGTTTTGAGAGTTTCATTTAGCTTGGAACTGTATCAATAATTTGAGTTGAGTAGGATATCAAGTCACTTGTCAATTGACATTTACACTGTGCATATAAAAGATGCAACTTGTAATGAAATTTTGTCATTACTTTCTTATCGTCATGTATCTATTTCAAAAGGTTAGGGTGCGTTTGATATGTCGTTTTCAAACTATGTTTAGTTTTACAAAATGCTGAAAAAGTATTTGGTCTGGTATTTCTAAAAATGTATTTTCAAAGATAAGGATAAATTTAGAGCATAAAATTCAAAAGTCATTCTTGGCGTTTTGAGTTTTTCAATGAGGATTTTGAAAACACTCAAAACATACAATTTTTAAATAAATTTTTTAAAAATCTAAAAAAATTCAAAAAATACAAATACAAATACAAATACAAATACAAATTCTATAAAATAAAAGTTAAAAATATAATGCAAAAAATAAATTATAAATACAAAATTGATGCATTCTAAGATAATACTAATTTTGACAAAAAAATAAAAAATCTTAAAAATAAAATTATAAGAATTTCGAGGAAAAATTTATAGAAATAACAATAGTTCAAACTCTTAACATAAGCTAAGAACACGTGCTTGGAAAATCATGACTATATATAAGATCTAAATCCAATAATCCTTTAATTAAATGGAGCAAATATGAATATATATTAATTCGATTTGATTCGATTTGTTAGAATAATATAAAATATTATCACATAATTTATTACATATGTGGCCCGTTTGGTAGTCATTTTTTTTCAAAATGCATTTTTCTCTCTCTTCTTTTCAACCACACATTCTTTATTAAAATAATATTACACGTAAATAAATTTTTTTTTACTTATTTGTCAACCACACATTTCATATCAATTTACTATTTTAAAATGCATTTTTACATAAAAATGCATATCAAACACTCCTATAATTTTATTTTTATTTTTTATTTTGAAACTTGTATTATACTTTATAACTTTTAATGAAGAATGCCAAATGATCAAATTTCAATATAATGTTAGCATATCCTATAATAAATTTTGTATTGAGGGTGAGAATCTACTATTTTCAAAATATTTCGGATCGAATATTCGATAACATAGCAAATCAGATATAAATTTAAAAATCAAATATCCCGTAAAAAAAGATTTGGTGGGTCTCAACATTTGAATTACATTTATTATCCACCAATGGATCAATATGGCATGTCAAAGGTCAGTCTAGAAGATTGACCAAAACTTTATACGTTGATTATTTATTTTATTTACAATGGATAAAACTCCTCACCACGGAACCGCTTACACAGACATGGTTTAAGATCATCTCCCATGTGGGACCAAATTAAGAAATTTTAGTGTGAAATGCTCTCCAATGAGGGATTAAATAGTGTAAAATTTGGTGTAACTATTCATTTACACCAAATTTGAGAACTTTCAAATCCCCATTTTTGCCTCCATTCCCCTTTATAACAAATATCTATTTCATCTATATTCTTTTTTTATATTTTAAAATTAATAAATTTTAATTGATTTATAATTATGTGAACGTAATGGTTATTTTTATTTAACATAAAGCCTTTGTTTAGTCCCCATTATTTTCAAAATATATTTTTTTCTTTTCTTTTCAACCACACAAGCTAACAAGCAAATCCAAAAGTTTGTCTTATTTTTTAACCACATTATCGATGAACCTACTATTTCGAAATGCATTCTTAGCCAAAAACGGAGTTCAAACAGACTCTTATTTGTAACATTCTAATAAAATAATAAGTGATAATTATTGATACAACAAATTTCATTAATTTTTTTAATTTATTAATAAATACAATATTTTAGTTCATTAAATAAAATTTTTAATTTATAATATACTTTTTAATTAAAGAATTTAAAATAAAATTTGGTTTAAAACCATATCCAACAGTCTTCATCAAATTTCGTGTAACACCAAATCTGATGTAACCTCAGGTTCTTTATTGGAGATGCCCTTAGATGGAAATTTATTTCAAGCCGGCAGCATCCTTTCATTTTCTCCAATTCTAAATTGACACTTGCGTTGCAGGCTGTAGACACCCAGCCGGCACGTTTTGGCAATAGCCGAATTATAATTTATAAACAAACAAAAATATTTATTTTAATTTTTGTCAGGTGACAGACAGCCCATGGCACAAAAATTCCCGACTTTATTAGAGAATGCTATCGTGCCACGTGTATAGGGGCCAGATTGATTTACAGGATTCAATTGACAATATTTTATAAGTGTTGGGCTAAAAAACAAAAAGCCATGTTCGATATCAAGTGTAAAAGTCGACCAAGCCACCTCGACTTTTTTTTTTTTTTTTTGTGAAAAAAGGTCCCTTCGAGTTATTGTCAGACAAACCCACCTACAAAGGGAAGAAATGATTAATATATAGAAAAATGTAACATGTATCAAATTTTTTTATCGAATCTTTTGCTTACTACTCACAATAAGGATGTGAATCACATGTCAGCATTTTTAAATTCAGGTGAGGCCTGCATGCACTGTGAGAAGGGGCTCCATTCGGTACATATGGAATAATCCTAATATATATAATAACTGCGAGTTTGCATCAACATGAATTCATGTACTGGTACTTGAATATATAATCATAAACATTGATCATTCGTAACAAGAAATTCGTCCGTTACATGGCAGATTCAAAACAGGAGGGACAGTGGTCAAATGTACGATTTCAATGCTTGCATACTTCGTTTGCCTTCGGCTGATGAGTATCTCGACATAGTACAGTAATGCATCGACTGCCTATCAAAACCTCTCGCGTGATAAACTTGAGAAGTGGCGAGAAATTGAAGGAAACTGCAAAAACAGAAATTTAATGAGCTCATCTATCTAAGAGAAAGAAATTGAAGGAAACTGCAAAAACAGTATCAGCAAGAATTTTATTTATTATTATTTTTTTTTAGAGCTTCAAAATATATAAAAAGATGACAACCAAGAACTTTCTTATTCATGGTATTTATGCCATTTTTATTAGTCATGTTTACGTGCTTATACTTCACTTGTATCGACATGCTAGTTTGATCTTCCAAGAGACAAGGAAAATAGAAAGAGGCGATGAGACTGACATGTACAAAATCCTAAAACCTAATAGTAACTTGAAAAATACCTCTCAAACAGGGAAGAAAAACGGGGTGATGTAACAGCTCATGATTGAGTGTTTTTGTGTTTTGTTTTTCCAACTTCTAATGAAAATCTGCCTAGTGTAGACTGGAAAAAAAATTCTGTCACTGTCTGGCCACGTAGCATGATTGTAGTACCATAGACAAACTCTTTTTAAGTGTTGGTATTACTCCTCTGGTTCTAATTTTTCTATCAAAAGACGAGGCAGAGATCCCATTCAATCCCCTCCTCTAGTAGGCACATGCAGATTTCCACTCCACCCCCACAAGACCCCAAAAAATGTACCGACTCCTGGAACTTTATTGATATGGGACAGATTATACAACTCTTGGATGAAATGATAAGATAAATATTAGATGAGTACTATTACTAATCTTCTCAGTGCAGAGTACTAATATTAAGCTGAAACAGGTAAACGAAAATGACAGAAAAATTCATCACGCATAACATATTTTTTATCTACCATTTTAAATATATACCTGATGAGAGGATGATGAGCTGCCAAGAGAACCTATAGATCTTGAAAAACTCAAACTTGGCTTTGCAGGAGAAGAAGACAGTTTCGGAGTATAAGGGGACGGGATATAAGAAGGGATTGGAGAGCTGATTACAGGAGTATGATAGTATGAAGAAGGAGACGTCGCAGGAGTTCTCCAATAAAGTTGTGAGACTGAAGCCAATCCAGTAGAAGCAGATGAAGATCTTCTTGAAGATAGAAACTTGACTCTGATTCTGAGAATAAAATCAAAATTCACATCGTTACCACCAGATCAATTGCTAATCACGTAGTGCAGATTTCGTATGTGGCCTTAGACCGTACTAAAGAGTTAATAAGATTTTAGTTTCTTTTTCTACTTCAATACTAGCCAGTATAACATCCAATCCATATTGCCAAACATGCCAATATTGCAGTAGAAATTCTTCCACTCACTTGTGGATTTCAACATGCTGATCGGTTTCATCCAGTATTTCTTCCTGGAGAGCAGTATTTCAATATGAAAATGGGAAGGCGAATGACTATGCAATTAGGCAATTGTTTCAATAATTGACTATAATTCACAAAACTTTACCTGTAGAAGTTCCTCCAAGACATCTTCCATTGTTACAATACCAATGACCTCCTCATCTATGTATTTACCTTTAAGAGATTCCAACTCTTCATTTGAAATTTGTCCACGTTCTTGCTCCCATTTATTTAAAAACAGAGGGAGATGTGATTTCTTCATCCCGTCGTCCAATGAATGAGATTGAATTTCACCATCTCCGTGATAAACAGAGGAGTTATTTAGAAGCTCTTTTTCACCTAATGGAGGATTAATTCCTGAAAAGTAGTCTACCATCAGAATTGTAGTAATACTTTACAAACACAGGAAACTGCCTACACAAAGGTGGAACCCAACTTTGACTTATAAGCTTAAGAGCATATATCCGTTTTCTTGCTTACCCTCAATCTGGAAAATGAAACAGCATTACTGAGCATATGGAAGTATTTCCATATGGTTAACAATTATGAGACAAGGACTCTTTAACTTGAGACTATAAATTACCTATCCCATCTGTTTCTGTAGGTTCTGAATCTGGAATAATATTAATACTTGTCAAATCAGCACCATCTTCGGCCCTTTTAGATGTTATTTTTGTGTCTGTCTCAGACTTAACAACAACAGCCATGTGGCCATGGCCCTTTCGAAAAAGCTTTAGTACATCATACAGTGGCCAATTGTCGCATACCCTACAATGAATGATTGTTCAAACAAGTCGAGCTATCAATAGCAGTTTGTTAAACACGAAAATGAAAAGTCAGCTGTGAAGCTCAATTTCAGAACCTTCATGGATTAATACTTCTAAGTAAACTCTTCAGCCATGTTTGGTGGATTTCATAATACTAAACAATATTAAATTAGAAAAAAAAAATTGAAAATTTTGTTCTTTGTGCTGTCAAATACTGTGTACCATACATACACTTCAGGTCAGAGCTTCATAAATATAATTTGATAAATGATCACAATACCTGAGAATTCTCCTGATAGTCATATCTTTGATGGGTGTCTCATCTTCAGGATGATAGAAGATCAAGTTCTTTATCTAAATCCAGAAACATACACAAATATTTACATGAACATTGGCTTTACTTTAGGGAAGCATTGAAAAAAGAGAGATAACTGTCAAACCTTTACACAGTGGAAATGATTACAGAATAATTGGATTCAAACAAAAAGAACAAGAACTATAATGCATCAATTCAGATCCAGATATTACAGTCTTCAGAAGGATCAGTTATAGCCATAACACGAAAAAAATGCATACCAAAAAGAGACCAATTATATTTGCTGGATCATCCAAGTAAATAGGTACGCGACTATGTCCCTTGCTTGCAATAATCCCCATGGTGTGCCTAATGAAAGAAGAATAATGATTCTTAGAGTCAGTCGGTTTACGAAAGTAGCACTGGAGGCATGATTTTGTAAGTAGTATTACACGATTACTGAACACTAGAATTAACAAGATTTTAGCTTCTTTTTCCTTATAATAAAAATACAGTCTACCTTAACAAATAAGTCATAAAAAGGTGCAAGATACGTACGAGTCAAGTTTAGAATTTATGTCAAGTGAAAAAGTTCGAGATATTGGTGTCATAGCATCTCTGGCAGTCTTCTGTGTCATGTTCATTGCTCCAGTTATAATAGTTGTTTCATCATCTGTAAGATCTCCACCTTTCCCTGCCTGAGAAATTGAGCCAAGGATAAATCACAATAACAGTCCTTCAAATTTCTTTAAAGTCTAACTCCCTAAAACATTTTCCAATTTAAGCATTTCAGTCCCTAATGTTTGATCTTGTCACAGTTTAGTCATTTTGTTCAGTCTGTTCATAAATGTATCAAGTCGCTACCTAGTAGTCAATATATATATATATATATGGGAAATCCCGTGCATTAAATGAATATAAAGCTAGCTCTTCTAATTCTTCAAATTATATACTGTGTGCTTGTCACGTTAGAAGTTGTAGCACAAGATTGAATGTCTTTTTCGGGAATTATATTATAACTCTTCTTATTTCACATTAACATCCTTATAAGTTTACACTAACTATCTATGCATACTCATTTGTATTTTATTAGGACGTTCAAAATTAAACTTCCAAGAGTAGAATCGGAGTTTTTTTCAAAATTTTAGGCAATTAGTTGATTTACCTTTATGTTACTCTATCAATATTATGAGCTATTACATGAAATTGGACTGAATTATCCCAATGCACAACCAAGAAAGGCGAGAGAGGAAAAACATTGAAAGAATGATAATAGTGACTATTAAAAATACAAAACCTTAATTCCATGCAAGTCTACATATGTCTTTAGTTCTGCCCTTCTTAGAATTGCAGAATGGTTTTTCCCGAGAAGCCAGTCTAGTACCTGCCATGTAAAAAGCTTAAAAATATGTCATAACTTTCATCAAGATCCCAATGATGTTGGAAAGTGCAGTAATCTTCTTCTCTTTTTATATTGAAAGTATAATGATGAATTTTGACACTCAATACAGTCACATTATTAAACAGGCAAGATCATTCCTTCAACATTTTTGCAAGTTGATTATTTAGCAGAGGATGGAATTAGTTTCTTCACCGAGCCTCAGTTAAGCACTATTTATTTCAAGAATCAAATCAGATATATCAACACTTAAACCGCAAAAACTTGAAATGATCATGAATTCAGATTGTTACCTTACTAACTGGGTAAGATACTGGGAACAAAATGAACTGCAGAACTTGAACAAAAAGGGTGAACTTAGCACCTAAACTTAGTCCATATCTTGAGCATATAGCTTGAGGGATCACCTAAGTCATGTAGATAATTGAGTAAGTAAATAAAACTACATTTTACTTCTCCTCTCAGTAAACAGCAATAAATGACACTAATACTAATAATAATAGGATACCTCTGCAAAAGCCACTACAAAACTCATCGAGACCAGTATAGCACTCCAGAATGGGAGTATTCTATCCAGGAATATGGGAAGAGCCTTAATAAAATGAGCTTTCTATTAGTAAGAGCAAACACAAAAAAGTGAGAGATTATTTACTGGGAAAGATGTAGAGCGTGTTTGGCTAATCAAATTTTTTTACTTATTTTGACATAAAGGTAATATTTACTTTCAACATAAGTAACTTTTTACTTAAAACTTAAGAAAAAAGTAACTTATTTAAACAAGTGTGGTGGTAAAATGTTACTTAATTTTAACCTTAGCCAAACGTTCTCATAACACTGTGTGGAACCTAAACCAACCTCCATCGCCAGTGATTTTGCAATGAGCAGTGTACACAAGAGTAAGATTTCATTCTTAACAATAGGCAAAACTTTTGCTGCAAATAACAAGAGCAATGACTGAAGCCATAAGTAGAGTTCTATAAAATCATGCCTAATGGCAAGAATAAAAATAATTGTCTATTAACCAGCATTCTTTTGGTCTCGAGGCACTCCAGACTTTATGAGAACTTCAAGATCAACTTTGCTGTGCGACAAGAGTCCTAGACTGAGACCAGATGTGATGCTAGCAAATGCAACAAGGGCAAAAGATATCACAAGATTAATCCACCACTCAGATTCACAACATGGAGTGATTTCATCTTTCATTGTAGTGTCAAATGAATTGGGTATGCAGAAAAATTATGATATGTATTGTCAACTTAGTGAATCAACTAGAAGCAAACAGTTAAAGAATTTATAAGACTTAGAGACTTCAGAGAAAAAAATCTGAATGAAAGCAACACAGGAGAGGAGAGGAGAGGAGAGGAGAGGAGAAATGATTATCAATAATGAGTTGTGGGACTTAAATATATAAAAGAACTTACAAGTATATGCTATCTTAGATTCTAAAGAGAGAGATAGCATGCAGCGTATATGAAAAATTAAATCCAATTGTTAAACCAAAACGACATTCTCGTGTATATTTTACAAGGACTAATAATTATAGAAACATGTTCACAATGGCAAGACAACATGAAAGTTAATATGCAGGGAGCAGCTGAAATGCAAAACTTCCAAGAGAAGCCCATGGATCTTCTCTTTTCCAAAAAGAATTTGTGAAGATGTGGATAAAACATAGAAAAAATACGTCAAAATCGTCTTTTAAAACCTCTACCAATGTTGTAATGTTAAACGAATAACTCATGCCACTGGCCATGATATAAATTGACAAGGAAAATGAGACGAAACAAAAGATTATTATACTACATAATTGCTACAGGCATTTGAATGTTTAAAATCATATCGAAAGAATTCAATCTGGCTGTATTGAAAGGTCTGCGTCATTCTCTCTTTACTTATTCATCCAATTAACAAACTGATAAATGCATCAACATAAACAAAAAAAAAAAATATTGAAGATTATAATCAACGGCAAATAGAGCGCAAACACTTGGCATGATAAACAAGTAATAGGTCAATATAGCAACATATCAATTTTTGGACCAGTATGTCATCATTCACAGAGTTATTACCCTAAGATTATGCAATCTATCGGAATTATGTCGACCAACAGATCGTAGATTATAGTGCGGATATTATGCAATGAAGGCATATATCATTTCTCCTTTTGTTTTCCTTTTATAATTATTATTGGCCAAAGTAAGCATTTTCAAGCGATAAATCTGCACAATTTTCATCTAAGGTGAGCGATGTTACAGAATGCTATGTGCAAACATCAAATTAAAATAACCAAATATTGAAGACTTTCATTACAGAAGGATAAGGACATAATTATGGGTTATCTATGAATGATTGATCACACCCGAACAGAATATCCCCAAATCTGACTTCAAATTCAACAAGCTAAAGAAATTATCAAATCAAGAATCCGCTGGGGAGCTTTTGGATCACTACCAGAATCATCAACCCAGATATCAGAAACAAGGAATCGATCAACAGAAAGCTTATATTTCAAAAAATTTAAAGAATTTTAGTTATACAACTCAAAATAAATGCAAATTATACAATTTCCAGAACCATTTGCACGACCACCAAAGAAAAATTAAAATCACGCTGTTCGACAAAAAGTAGAGCGTGGATCAAACGAGAAACCGGAACAGTAAACTGAAGTAGTTAACAGTTAAAATTCGGCGGTTAACCCGTCAAAATTCGAGCAAAAAGAATGATATAATTTCCATTTTTGTAAAAATGAAAATGAAAAATATAATCATTATACAATTCACTATAATAATTTAATGTAATAAATAACGATGATATTTTTTATTTTTGTGGGCAAATAATGAAAAATATTTTTGTGGGCAAATAATGAAAATCAGACGGGAGCTTAGAGTATCTAGTTTATATACAGTTGCATGTTTGGTTAAGCTTACGAGTAAATTTTAGGATTTTTAATTTTTATTTTATTTTATTATTATTATTATTTTTTTGTGACTATGGTAAACATATTTTGATAGTAATTTTAATAAATAAATATCTTTTTGTTTATAATTTTCATAAAAAAGCAACTTGTTTTTGAAATTTTTGTTGGTAGTTTAGTAAAATCAATTAAAAGTAAGGCAATGGATTATAGCATAATCAACATGGACGGATTCGGAATTGGATTCAAGACCAAGCTATAATATTTTCAGTCGGGCTAATACGCAAAAAAAAATTAAACATAAAAAAGCTATTTTTATAAAAAACAAAAGAATAATGCCTAATTTGAGGGGGACTAAGATGTAGTCTCCCTTTACAATCGCCCCTGATGATCAACTTAAATGAATACAAAGAGGAAGACACGAGTCTTTACCTCCATGGATTACACAACAAAGAGAGTAGAAAACAAAGAATAATAAACTAAGCTAATGTAAAATCACATTTGCAAATCAATTTAACAAATTGAATCAAATGAATATGAAGTTGAATCGTCCACATGTTTTCATAGAGACTGCATATTTGGACTATCCAACCAATAAGTACTTAGAAGGTTGCTTGATGACCTTCTGACATTTTCTAGAGGGGCAATGGATCTTGAACTATGGCATCATTTGAAATTAGAACGTTTTCGTCCATGCTAGTATCGCCATCAGATGACTCCATTACCTCCTCATTACCTTTAATGTTTCTTGATCTATGAGATTACATGACAAATCCATCTCTCTCATTCAAATCACATTGTATAAGTAATATTGACACCATGTATTGCCCACCAGGATGTGTTTCATGAATCGATTACGTGGGATTGTACCCACTCTGTTCTTTCAAAACAACTTTATTGTTGAATTGGCCTCCATTAATATACTTATACTTTAGGAAGTAGAATTTGTGCAAACAAAGACCTTTATTCTAGAAGGCTATAGAAATAATATGCCATGGTACATTTAGGATATCCTACAAACAGGTATATTTCAGACCTAAACTTCAACTTTTTTGTCTTTCCTTTTAACATATGAGCCTAACATCCCAAATTTGGATGTGACACAAGCTTATATTGTGCCCATTCTACAATTCCAAGTCTTGAGAACGATTTTAAAAGGAATTAAGGATATATTGGTGTTTTGAAAATCGATCTGGACATAGACACAAAAAAGGTGAAGGATAAAAGGTCAAAAGGTTAAACCAGAGTCAAATCAAGATTGAACTGAATGCAATAAATAAATAAAATACACACAAACAATAAAATACTATGAAATCAATAATCTTTTAATTTTCATTTTAATAATTCAAGTAAATCAATGTTTTTTAATGAGAGTCATTGTCAAGTGTAATTTAAGTTAAATTTGAAAATTAAATAATTTAAAATATTGGAGTGGATATTACAATTTAGTTAGTTGGGATTTTCAAAATCATATATTTGGCTTGGAAAATAGTTTTGATGGACATTTTAATCTTTTTTTGCTATACCACTATCTCACGTTAAAAGTCTATAAAAACTCTTGAAAGAAGTGCATCTGTAATACCACTATCTCATATTGAAAGTTTATAAAATTATTTGAGAGAAGTGCATCTATAAAATGAGCATTCCATTCAAAATTCGTTTATGGGCCTTTGATAATTATAGTGTACGAGGCCCATAATAAAAAAGTTCAAAATTTTTAAATTAAAAATTTGTATTATCGGCACCGGTTCACGATTAAACCAACCGATTTGACTGGTTATGAGCGATTTTTGTGCTAGTTAGTTAACGGGCATGATTTGCTCAATTTTGGATTTGGTTCTCGATCCTATCAATTGAATCGATCGGACTGAGTCGATTTTAATACATTGGAATATATACAGGTATAACCAGTGTATATCCCGAAAATGAGACAGATAAAGTTGAAAAACTTATCTTTAGCTTAAGCATATCTAAAATTATCACATTTCTTATTTTTTTAAACAACATTTTATTGGGTGTACCAGGAACACTTGGTTGAGAAATTATATCATTTTCTATTAAGCAATCTTTGGATTCTCCCGAGAGACATTTGATACATCGATTTGATTGAAAATATTTTATACTTTTATTCAAATGTTTTTTTACCTAAATGCGATACTCTTTAGCTAATAATCCCCTCTCGTAGGTGTACTCATGGGTCCACTATATATATATATATATATATACACTCTATATCCTTTTGCCAAAAAAGATTTCTTGGTTATCTTACCTTTCAAACAAGAATAACAAATTGACAATGGTTCGACCTCGATCGAATTGATGGTTGATATGTCCAATTCTAATATACCATATATGTATATCACTCTTGTATTGTATGACTTTTGTTTCTTATAGTTTAAAGAAGTAATATATATTTTACTTGTGAAATAATTTAAAATATAAAGATCATTCATCAAATATCCACCATAAATATCATACCTTTTAATTATTATGTACCTCCCTTTCTAGATTAATTAAATTTAAATTAAATAATGGGTTTTTTGATAAAATACCATCTATTCTTAGTTATACAAGCGATATTACAAATAAAATTATATGTCATGATTGTTTGAATGTTAATATTTCAAACAATAATTTAAAATATTCAAAATAAATAATTGACAATTATTTGAAGCCTTTAAAAAGACTCAACAATTAAATTTGAAATTAATTAGAGCAAACTCAATATTTATCTAAGTTTTCAATCCAAACTATCAAAGTATCCAACAACAGCAATCCATGTAGCCAAACAACTATATTGTTAACTTAAAAAAATAGAAAATAAAAACTCCAATGGACTTATAGTCTTGAATCTAATTGAAACAAAAAAAAAAAAAATTAAATTAAGATGATGAAATTGTAATCTACATATCTTGTTACAAACTTGAATTTGTAACCTAAACTTCGATTTGATTTCAAATTTCATCTATTTGAAACAATATCATACCATAATAGCGGATTGTTTGAGCCCCATTTCTTTTTCAAAAAATATATTTTGCAATAGTTTTATAATGGAGAATGCGTGGTTAAATAATAAGGAAATATTTGGGATTTATATGTAATATTATTTTATTTAAAAATGTGTAATTGAAATGAGATCAAATCACTATTGAAAAATGTATTTTGATAGAAAAATAGGGCTCAAATATCTACCACATGATGGTGGCGTAATTATGTCCATTTATGCCAGAATAAATTTAGGGAGAAAACCTTTTAACCTTAATGAATCAAAATACTACCGTTACCATCATTTTATCATGTTAATTGTGCTACATTGCCAGAACATTATGCCAGATTTATACTTGACAGAATTTCATTAACAACTAAGCAAAAAACAATTTGAACACATCTAATTGTGGGCTATCATCTCAACCCAGGTAAATTGTCATCCCCTTTTAAAGGTTCGAGTTAATTGTTTCAATAATCATTCAACTTATTAAAAGGTCATGGTTTACTTATTAAACTTTAAAATGCTTTATAGTGCTTACTGAACTTTGTCCACTTGCACTTCATCGTCACCTTAAAAAAATTGTTACTTTATTTGCTGACGTCGCTAACGAAAATCTGACATGGGAAGTTACGACCGTTATAAAAATTACAACTTAGCCAAAACATTGTTTCGTTATTCATCCAACTTAAACTATGTTATAGTTTATTCATCGAACTTCAAAATGCTTTCCAATGGTCACTCATCTTTAAGATGTTGCAATCTATCCATTATTTGCCATTTCGTTCAATTCATTGCTAATTTATTGTACACAAATTCCAATGGTGAGTTCAATCATCAAAGAAATTGCAACTTAATCAAACCATCTACTCACAAAAATCACCATATGTGAAACTCGACATTCAAGCCCCATAAACTTCTTTAAAACCCAATAAAGCGTCCCTAATTTCAACCCAAAAAAATCTAGTGATAAGTGCATTATGTTACACTTATATAGGCTTTTAAATTAGAGTATTTGTTGGACATTTTAATGAATCATGGCTTAATTCTATATATATTGCGTTTGTTATGTAAAAATTGATGGAATTTGAGACAATGAACGAGAAAATGGTGAAAATAGATAAAGTATGATCAAAATACAAAACGATGATTGAAGATCACATATGATCAATTCAACGCAATTAAAAGATAAATGGTGTAATATAGACAAAGCATTTTCACAAATGAATATCCAACTGAACAAGTTATACTTCAAATTTTTAGCCTCGGATTGAAACTTATTTTCTGAATCGTAAACGTTCGAATTGAAAAAAAAAAGATATTTCTAAAAGAATCATCAAGGACGTTTTATTGGATTTAAAAGAAGTTTATGGGGTCATGGAAGTCACGTTTCACATATGGTGATTTTGGTAAGTTGATAGTTTTTGTTGAGTTATAATTTTTTTAACACTTGTAATTTACCAAGTTGAAATTTCTTTGCGAACATTAGCAACGAATGAAACGAAATATAATGGATGGAGTGCAACATTTTAAAGATGAGTGACTATTAGGAAACATTTTGAAGATCGATAAGTAAATGGTGACTAATTGTATGTTGTATGAGTAACGAACCAATAGTTTGGTTGAATTGTAAATTTTTTAACGATCGTAGCTTGTTACATCAGATTTTCGTTAACCATGTCAGCGAATAAGTTAAAGGATATTTGAGGATGATGAATGAAGTGCAAAATAGGAGTGGGCGTCGCGTGGGTCAGCCCAGGTATTTCAATACTCGGAGTCAACCATTATGTTTTGGGTATTTTGTAAATAGATCAATTTGGTTCCACATAATTATTGGACCCAAACTTGAACCATCAGTTCCGATTTGGGTTCGGTTCTACCCATAACATTTTTTTAATACACATTTAGTAAATCCAATTATGTAATTAGACGAATTATTCACAAACTATCCATTAGGTCGTAGATTTAGTAACTGACATTAATGGACTAATCATTCGAGACATAAACAAAGCCTTAATGAATTAGAAGTTGCACAAAAAATTAATAAAACCAGCCTTAAAAGAGCATTAAAAACTAGTTAGAATTTAAGAGAACTTTAATAGAAGTATAAGACCAGCATAAAGAGTCAAGAAAAAATGGTGACCTAAAAAAATAGAAATTTTTGAAGGAATCATATCAATACCCAAGAAAAAATCAAATAAAAACTTGAAGATAACATAATAGGAAAAAATAAGTATGTATTGCAAGAGTTACAAGAATTACTTGTGTTGTCGGTGCAATAGATGAAACTATTGTAGCAAGAGTAATGTTGACGAGAAGGAATGCAAAGAGAGAACTGGGAAAGAATGGTGGCAAGAGATTCTAGTGATTGAAAGGGGAAAAATGGGTTATTATCTTTACAGGTTTGGTATTATGTTATATTTAAATTGCTTTTGGACAAGATAAACATATTTGGACTTAGGTAATTAAAATGGGCCAAAAGCTTTGGAATGGACATTTTCATTGGACTGAATTGAGTAGTCTATTTAGTGTTTAAGTTATAAATATTAAATTTTGTAATTTTTTTATGCAATCTAGTAATTATTAAAAATAGAAAATTATAAAAATATCAGTTCTATTCGATTACCCACGGTTCCATTCGGTACTCGATTTTCGATTTCGGTTCCTATTTATTTCTTTCGAGAATCGAAGCGGAACTTCTGGTTTTGGTTCAATTTCGGTTCGGGAGATTTGATTCTTGTTAAAATGCCCACCCCTAGTGCAAACGGATAAAGTTCGGTGAGCACTGTGAGGTACTTTCAAATTTAGTGAGTAAACTGTGATATAGTGTAAGTTGGGTGATTATGGAAACAATTAATTCCAAAGGTTCAATTCTAAACAATTTCTTTCAGTTTAAAAATACGATAAATAAGGACAATGGCAGGGTACCAAAATTTAAAATTAAGCATGTTTAGAAAGTTTTTATAAACATTTTATATTATAAATAAATAATTATTAAGTAAATAATATTCGTAGATTTTTCGTGAATAAAAATTGATTTAAATATTTATAAATAATTTATAAACATGCTAAAGTTGACTGACCTGCAAGCTATAGTCAACGTTCTGCTTCCCCTACTCCACACCCCCGTCACTCCAACTCTCATACGCTCTTCTCCATGACGACCAAGGAAGACCAACTCAATCCTGCCGCCTCCGCCGCCGTCACACCACCAATATTCATCTCCACTTCTACACTACAGTCGCTCATAACCCACAAATCCCTAATCCACCACCTCCAATCCACTCTCCCAACTCTCTCCCCCACAATCCACTCCCCCATCCGCCATGCCCACCAAACAAGCCCTTCATCTTCTCTCCTCCTCATGCCCTCTTGGTCTCTCTCTCCTTCCCTTCCCTACGTCGGGATCAAATTAGTCACTTATTATCCCAATAACTCGACACTGAACTTACCCGGGGTGCAGGCGATTTACATGCTATTCAATTCTCTAATTGGCCAACCCTTGGCCTCAATCGACGCCACTGAACTCACGTATTATAGAACTGCTTGTGTATCGGCTTTAGCTTCGTTCTATTTGTCGAGAGAGGATTCGGAAACCCTTTTGATGATTGGTGCTGGTTCTTTAGCGCCACATTTGATCAGGGCTCATTTGAGTGTTAGGCCAGGAGTCAAAAAAGTGATCATTTGGAATAGAACCGGAGAAAAGGCAAGAATTATGGCTGAGAAAATGAGCAATGAGAGTGACTTTCTAGAGGTTCGTTTCCAGAGCAATGGGTGTAATTTGGAGGAGCTTGTGAAAGAGGGTGATATCATCAGCTGTGCTACAAATTCAGAGATTCCATTGGTGAGGGGAGTGGATTTGAAGGCCGGGACACATCTGGATTTGGTGGGATCATTTAAAAACTCGATGAAAGAATGCGACGATGAGGCCATAAGGAGGGGACGAGTGTTTGTCGATAATGAGGCTGCGCTGACAGAAGCTGGGGAATTGGTTGGTGCATTCGAGAGAGGAATCATCACCAAGGATGAAATTGCGGGCGATTTGGTAGGATTGATCAAGAGGGAGAAGCCGAAGAGGAAGAGTTCTGAGGAAATTACAGTGTTTAAATCGGTTGGTTCTGCAGTTGTTGATCTTCTGAGTGCCCAGCTGGTTTATGAGAATTACATGAAATCTGGGCAGTGAAGTGAATGTATTAGAATTGATTGGATGAAAGCTTCAAGAATGTGATGAATGCATGCAATAAAAGAGTAACAGCCTCTAGAAATGTTAAGATTCGATGCAATAATGTACAAAGATTTTGATGTGAACATTGCGTTCTTACATTTATTCTCTGGCAATCCGATTGAGTCGAGCCGATCAAATAATGTGCGTTCTTTGATAAAAATAGGCCTGAGAAGGCCTCTTGGTTAGGTAAACATCATGATGTTTTGAGTCGAAGTATCAATTTGTGCAAGACATGATGAGATAAATGATAATATGCAATAAATAGTTTGGCGGAGTGTTACCTCATCTCGGCAAATCACCCCATTGGCGATGAGGTTACACATGACTTACTATCTCTACAAGCTCGTAACTTGGGCATCACTAGCTCACTTCATCATAAAAGTTGATGAAATATGTAATTGAAAAGTTGGTAAAATAAATTTTGAATTCCATAAAATGTGTAGTTAATAAAAATTGTTTAACTTTCACTTATATTTTATCAAGCATGCACTATCATTACCCCTTTCAAGTCAAATTTATAAAAAGTTAATAAATAAAAATTCTAGCAATTATAATCAAGTCTGAAATGTTGTAAAAAAACTAAGTTCAAAACCTTTAGTAACATTAAAACCCTAGAAAAGGGTAAATTGTCATCTCATCACTGCAATTAAACTATAGCAAAGGTTTTTCACTCCTCGTCCGAGCCGGAACTTTCTGAACCGCTCTTATCATGAACTCTGCCATTGGCACGTCCCTTTTTATTCGTATCTTGAGCATCTTCTTCATCTTCACTGTACTCGCTCTCGATATCCTCCTCTTCTTCGATCTCCTCTTCTTCATCAATTCCACCCTCAGGAATCAATCCTCCATCAGTCATCTGACCATCGCGAATGCCAGCACGAGTCCTCTTCAAAACTTTCAGTTTTAAGCTCGATTTCCTGTCACAACCAATCCAAGAATCACACAATAAATAGCAAGTCAAGTTATAATTTCCTTCGGCTGGGGCTAGAAACTTCCCCATTGCAAGTCGACACCCATTCTTGACTTTCTCAACTGCTTCTCTTATAGCAGAGCTAGTTTCCTTTGGGCTGGCTCCGAGCACTTCCATTCTCTCCTCGATTGCTGTTGAAGCAGCAGTCACTGCAGCAGCTTCATCCATAAAACTGATCTTTTGGGAGAACCACACACTATTCGAATTGCTGTCTGCGAGTAAACCCCAGAAATTTTCTTCCTTGTGGAATGGATAATTGGGGGCATGGGGTAGGGCACCGATTAAACCATTAGCACGTTTCAGTGTCACCCAAGTCTGAACCGTAACAATGTCACCCTCTTGTATGGCTTCCTCACCTTCAGTCCCGCAAGTAACTTCAACTGTCAGAGAAGGAATCAGTTTCAGTACATTCTCCACATCTTCCACTTCAGAAGCAGTGAAATTGGCTACTTCAGAAAATAGTACGGCGCGTTCTTCAATGGTCATTTCCTGAAGTTCTTGAAACGTGCTTACCTTCTGCAAGCAGTGCAAGAATAAAGATCATGAGAAGAACAAAACAGAAAATTACTATCCATAAGAGAGAAGGGGGGATCCAATTAATCCTACCATTTAACTAAATTTGGTTGTTAAGTTGAACTGCATTAATAAAATACCACGGTACTAATTTACATAAGAGGCAGAATTATCATCATATTATCACCTTATCAATATTAAGTTCTTGAAAATATTCAACAATTCAGAAACATAAATGATTCAACTCAGCTTCATTGCACCTTTTTCCTGAAAATGAAATTCGAGGATAGCATTTCCTCTCTCCCATTATGCCAGAAAAATATAATTACACAAAATCTGCTCCTCTAATGTCAAACCAGGATATACTTTTCAAACCATCGTTGATGATGTAATATGGCAATCCTCTGAATTTTCAAATTGTTTTTAAATCACTATCTGGAATTCCTCAGCTACGTTGCAGGTTTCTCATTGGTCTGTTCTTTAATTTTACCATTTAGACTTCCAATTCTCCAGCTAAGACAACTAATTGACATAGATCCAGCATGGAGAAAATTATCAGAAAAGAAGCGGCAAGATATCTCACCTTGCGTGTTATCTTTTTGACAATATCATCATTAAAATGTGGAAGCTGAAAGAACGGAGCAATGCCCTCGGACTTCCTTGTGCTGAGAGGAACAGCCTGCACCACAGTCCAATGTATGTGTAAATTAACATTCTTGATTAGTTAAATCTTAGGACTATTTAAGGTAATATTCTCGCTAGGTGCGACAACATTAATTTTTTCCAAAAAAACATTTTACATGTTCCCTCATAAATTTTTCCTACTTTTTACTACGTTCTCCAAAAAGTCACTGTTCAAAAAAACCATTTTTTGAAAAATCTCTTCCACACGAGCTAAGTCTTTTTCCCCAGTAAAGAGTTTTTGTTAAATGGATTTAGTTTTCTATTACCGAAGATGAAAAATAAATTGCAAAATGTCATTGAACAATACCTGAACAATACTTTGTGAAAGTTCAATAACTCCTATTACAGGCCTAAGCCAGCCCTGCCCCTTATTAGAACGGGGAATAAGTGCCATCTGTTCATGGTAAGCAAAAGAATTCATTGAAGTAAGAGGCAAGTTCAATGCACATCAAATAATAGAGAAGACTGACGTGTGTAGAATCATGTTGTGAAAAGTAAAAATTCATGCCATGCCTCACAACACGAGTATCAATGGCAAGAGGTATTCACATTTCACAAATTTTCACCTTTTTCTCAATCTGGCAAGCTAGCATATAGAAATCATAATTTCTGTTTAAAATAAATTTTCCCATTTGGTATTCTGAAATCTTTGTCCATATCTCCATCCTACTGTAACTTAAAATAAATTTTCGTATTTGGTATTCTGAAATCTTTGTCCATATCTCCATTCTTGATATCTTTCTTTGACAAGACAAGAATTCAGAGGCGCTTAAATATTTTTAATGAACATTGGGAACAAAGGATATGTAAAGTAAATGGCAAAACCTTTACTGCAATAGAGAAACCATCAAGATAACTGTTGACATACATGATTATTTGGGCAAAAACCCAAACGAGTATAGCCAATATTGTTTGCAACTAAGATCGGCTGAGTTGGATGCAATAGAAAATCAATACATTTATAAAATGATAACTTTTATCTCCAAATGAGTCCAGAATCAGAGAATTAGGATGTCCATAAGAAGACAACTCTTCTTTCCAAAGAATTACAGTTCTCCATGTGCTTAGATTACGGATCAGAAGAAGAAAAAGGAGACATTTTATTAATGGCTAAAAATATATACACAAAACAATGACAGGTGGGTATGTGCCCAAATTTAATCTCAAGTTATCTGTATAGGAATGAACTTCAGAAGTGTAGACAAACAACATTACCATATAGAATTTGATATTAGAGAGGTTCAAAATTAGCATTTAGCATTCACATGGCTATGTATTCGTATATTGAAAATATATACCTTAACAAGCTCTTCAAGAAGGCGAGGAGCAAATTCCAGCACACGCATGCAGTCACGCTCCAAATCTGGGGATAAATTCGCTGTTTCATGAGTTAAATGCGCTTGGATCAACAATTCTGTCTGAGAAATACAGAGGAGATGAGTATAATCGGAACAACACATAATAAGTAAAGGATTCAGGTTTTAAACGCAACAGCCAGAACCAAAAGCTCCACCCATGCAGTTCACTTTCTTAAGTTTACCTTAACAAGTGCAGGGTGCTGCTTCCAAAACTTTGCCTGCTCCTTTTTAATGTTTTTAAGGTCCAAGTTCAACTCACTTCTTACTGCCATAAAGAGTTTTTGTAGGGGTTCATCATCAGATCTTCTAACGGGAATTTCTACAAATTCAGCGGCCTTAATGAAGACTTCCATAACTTTGCTGCGATCAAAGGCATCATGGCCGAATACATGTCAAAAATATATATCCAGTGGTATTACACTACAAAATCAACTACAACAATATTAAGTTTCACCGGAAACAAGGGGAACTCATAAAAGTTCTCAAAAAGTCCTTTTTCTCAATGTTGCAATGACATGGATCTATGCGAACGGAGTGCTAACATTACTCTGAGTAACTTCACCTCTACTCAAATTGGAACACGACCATATTCAGCATAGAATAAGAAAACTATTTTTCAGTTTCTATTAGCACATGACTATTTTAATAAAACATAAAAAGTTTTAAAAAAGAAACTAAATATCTTTAATTTAAATTCACCAAGTTTTTCTAATTCGTGAATAACTAGAAAGAGACAATAACTTAAAGATTTAACAGGTAAGTAAAAAAAAGTCAGATATATCTGGATTTAAACCAAGCATTATCCTATTAATGTAAGAGTTAGCTAGAAATGACAATAATAACCCACGTTGCAAGTAATACGAACCTTGGGGCCAAGGAAGGTTTCATTAAATGGAAATAGGCACCCAGTGTATCATTCTTGACGTAATTTCCAGTATATTTTGAAGATCTCGATAGATACACAACCGCTGCCACCAGTGGCAACAGTATACAGACCCCAACAATCCAAATTAACAATATCCCACCAGATGCGCTATCAATATTAAGAAGAAACTGTGGCAGAGCAATTCCCATTTGGAACCCCTAAATCAAGAAATCATAATGTCAAGTTTTTATTTTCATTCAACTTTTGTCCAAATGTACGAGAAAACAATTCCTTCCACCCCCCGGTGATATTTTACCTGTCTACCATCGGGATGGCCATATTTTTCATAATTCTCACGGGAAATTGGATCTGTCAGTGCCTGGTAAGCTTTGGATATGGACTCCACAAAGTACTTATGAGCAGCTGAAATTCCAAAATAATCATAATCAAGGGCAACTTTCTGTCAGGCAGAACAAGGTTTCCATATTACATCATTTGAACTTAAAATATCATATCTGAACTACATAATTAGATGAACCTGGGTCCGGATTCTTATCAGGATGATATTGTATAGAAAGTCTCCTGTATGCCTTCTTAATTTCAGAATCTGAAGCACCAGGTTCTAATCCAAGGATGTTGAACGGCTCAAAAACTTGAATCTGAGAAAATAAAAAATGTATTGCCCTCAAACAAATTCATTGTCCCATAATTGTAGAAAATACAAGCACATAATAGATTACATGATAAACATGACCGTATGTTTTGGAGCAAGTTCAGAAAAAAACTGGTTTACACATGTTAACATGATTAGAATTGATCAGCGCGTACCTCACTATTCATGTGCTTTATGTAATAAACAAGAATAGCCATGATAACCCACAGCAGCACAAGAGTC